GTTGCTTGGCAGCATTGCTGAACTCGTCTTGTCTTCATAAGTTGTCATGCCTCTCTGATCTATCCAGTGAAGCCAGTTGTACATATGTAGGTTCTCACCTTTAGTGGCTTGGGTTTCCTATTCTTGAATGATCTTTTTACTTGTGTTTCTATATGCTTATTGTTGTCTATTCCGAGTCAACTTGAATGACTTTGATTTCCTAGATATGACCACAACATACAACAAATTGTTTGCCCAAATGTAATAGGGGTAAAAGAAGTAATCATTTCATTGTGGTAATGGCATGCATAGTGGTGACAGAGAATCTCCCAACCCCATTTCAAATTTATAGAGTCATTAGCAATACAACCACCATTATTTGACAGCTGTATTTGACTATCTCAACTTTCCTTTGTTATACTCAAGTTTTAAGGACCTTGAGGTTCAGCATTGTTGATATAGTAAACCATTTGTTGGATGCTTGTCTTGAATGAAAAGGGAGTGTTTATGCTTTCATCTGCTAATCCTGTTATTTTTCTAAAAACATGTTAACAGATTTGTCGAGTTCGACTTGACCAAGTTGATCAGTGTCATGTGAATACAAGATTTTCACATTCTCTTTGCGGTCATGTTGTTAACAAGATGCCTAGTGGGGACGTTGAATGCAGCTTCTGTCATTGTAATTGTGATGCTGAAGTTGTGCGCACATTCCACCTGAAAATCACTCTTGCAGATGAGACTGGAAAGATTTTTGCTTGGTGCATCGGTCAAACTGCTACAGAGGTGCTTCAGATATCCCCCGATGAATTTTATGATCTTCCCGAGGTAAGGACCAAGCTCACCGATTCATTTTGTTACACAACACGAGACGGCCTTTTGCTTCTGTTCTATGAACTTGCCTGTATGTGATGGTATCAAAATGATGTCATTTGCATGTATGCATATTAGATATGCACATTGGCATCCACTTATGCATGCATAGATCAAGGCATTAAGCACGGTGTACTTTTTTGAACAATAATAAATATTAAAAGAAATTTCCCAATCATTTTTGGTGCAATTCATGGCTGTCCAATTTGCTGTTCCGTGCTCAACTGAGCTGTTTCCTTGGTTCCTCGGTTGAGCAGGAGATGACAATCTAAAGTGCTGAATGTAATTGTAAGCATAGTGACCACCTCAAAATCTAGTTACGAAGAATCTCTTGGACTATAATTCTTTTATTTGGAAAGGTTGTAGTTGCTCGCTTCATTCTTGATTATTCGTCTGTATTACAGGATGAACAATTCATGTATCCTTCATCTCTGGAGAATGAGAGCTTCATAGTTGCATTAGTGAATTGCCAGGGGCAGGGTTATGGACTCAGTCAGAGTATAACCCAGGAGGCTGATGCAATTCCGTGGGAGATCACTCGTGCATTAAGGTGTGAATAGTAAAACAATTTGCACTGAGATTTCCTGAAAATATAGCAAGAATCACGCTCTGCATGGATGCGGTTTCTCTGTGATCCTTGAACAAGATAAGAAGGCAAGTAGGCAATCATGCCATGGTTGCCAGGTGTAAAAGTGCAGCAACTTTTTTTATTCTTATTTCCTTAAAAATTCATCCTTCTTTTTTTAATTTTTTAAGGGCATCCTACTGCTTTGAAACGATGCTATTCCATCATCATAGTGCACGTGATTAATTTGCAAGACATGTTTATTTGTGTTTTAAAAATATATTTTTTTAAAATGCATTTTTTTAATTTAAATTAATTAAAACTTAGTATTTTAATGTGAACGTTCATGTTAAAAATATATTTTTAAATAAAAAACACTTGAAAAGCTATTATTGACACTACTCTCCAAACACCCTCTAAATCAAAATCACAAGGTTTCTCTTGTATACAAAAATTAGCTAAAAAAAGTACCGCGTATCTTCATGAAAAATGAGATTGAAATGCATCTTGATTTACAATCAGATAAAAGTTGTTGGGAGTTAAGGATGCTAGAAAATTGCGGTAACAATGGGAAGTCGAGATCACAAAAATCTTAGTAATTGGTGGGACGGATCCATCCTCAAAGGACCACCCTTAGTCCTTTCAATCCCTACTGCTGCTAGAGTTTTGTTCTGATAGGATCTTCAAAACATTAATCAGCGCTCGCAGCCTATCCCATATGTTAGAGAGCTTCCAAGAGAGACTGCTGGAACTCAAAGCCATTCTCCCCAACAGGATACTATCATCAGCCACGAGTCA